TGTACGCAGTATTCGAGACGGGGGGGTACCATCGAGTTATATAAGGGCAATAATATATTCTCAGTATTATTCTCTATCCCCTTTTTAATGATTCCTAAAATGTTAATGTTATGGAAACTAAATATCACCTAACCAATAGCTCAAGCAATAGATTTCATAGCAAGACATGCTGAGGACAGCCTAAGCTCTTAGCTGCTTCCTTCTGTTCGTCCAATAAGGAGTCCAGTATAGAGTTAATGGAAAGCCATAACACAGTTATATCAGGACATGACAGCTTGATAATTTGCCACACAGAAACCCACAGAAGTAGAAGAATAGACCTTTTCTACAATAGCATCCAGTCTATTCCTTTTCTAGCCAAGGGAACACACAAGGATGCCCTGTTACTTTTAAATAATTCCTGGGCTGCAGACACATGGATAATCAGCCAAGGAATGTTGTAACAATTAATAAATAAATTAAAAAAAAAAGTGTGCCTCCAATTGTACAGGATACATACAATTAGCACCCCCTTGCTCCAAATATACTGGTGGTGAGGACACAGGAGAGTGCCAAATGTCCTTTGCTGGACTGAGTAGTCCTTGGAGAATAGGAAGTGTGATCTTGCCTTTTGTCTGCCATTCCATGATATTACAAAGAGGATCAGATGTGTCTGGTGCCAAAACTCCCATCTGTAACTGCAGGGTAATAGCCATCCTCCCCACCAGCTCCTGAAATTGCTTCTATTCATTTGCAGGGGAGACAAATGAAGTCCCAATTTGATCCTTAAAGGACATACCATCAGTATATTCTTTGATTGGTGACTGCTGCACTTCCTGTGAAGGACTCTCGTCATACACGTGTCACTCTTTGAGGAGGCAATAATGCTTGTGCCAGCACTGATGGCACTGGTCAGATCTGTGCTTATTGAAACATGAAGGCAGTGGTGCCTGAGAAGACCAGTGCTAGGAAAGCTCTTGGCACCAATGGAGGTGCCTCCAGTGCTGCAAGGGGCACTGGTGTCAGCGTTATCACCAGTGCTGAAATAGGTGCCATGTTGGTTTTGATAGCACTGAGCAAAGCCTTCACTGAGTCCTGAAGGCACAGACACATTAACAGGGTACCTGGCATCTTTCCAGGGAAATGGAACTTTCAGCAAGGGAAGATAGCTAAGGCTCTCAGGAGCCAATTGTAAGAGCTTGTGTGGTCAGTTTAGAGGGAATCCCATGCTCCTCAAGGGCATTCTGGATCTATACCAATGACAAATATTTCAAGCAGCAGAGACAAGCCAAAAGCTTTGAAAGAGGTCCCTCAGTCATGAGATGGGAAATCAACTGTGTTAGAGATATGTGCACCGCTGAGATGACTAAATCACTCAAGTACAGAACCTCAAGTTGAGGAGACGTGTGTGCCAAGTGCAGTGATGAGACTGGTAAGGAGGTGACAAGCAACAGAGGAGGAGGAAAGCAATACCACCTCCTCTTTTTCTCCTTAGGCTCCTTTTGTGAATCAATGCTTCCTCTCACTTCCCAAGAACAGGTTACAAGGAGACCTGGAAGCGCTTCTCTCACTCTTGGAACCAACTGGTGTCAACTCTAATGGTGCTGTGTGTGAGTTTTCAGTGCCAACAGCAGTGTGGACGTAACGGTGTTGCTAGAGTAGTCTGTTTTGATGGAGCTGGGGGCCGACACTAAGGGCAGAAAGGTGTGTTTCAGGACTCTTCACAGAAGACCTCAGCACAGAGACAGACCTCACAACTCAAAAAAGGAGTTTTAGAACAGTCCAGTTGAAGGTTTAAGGCAGTCAAATGCAGTTGCAGTCTTAAGTCTCTGAACTTCCTCATCTGAGGGGTGAAGAAATGGCAAATAAATAGTGCATTGAGACTCTATGTGAGCCTCTCCCAGGCATACTAGACACCAAATGTGTGCATCTCGTCTCAGGAAAGATGGCTGAACCCTCTCTGAAGTTTGGGACCCAGCATAGCTCAGAGATAACCCGAGGCAAGTGGCTCCAGATACTCTAACTATACTACAGAACTCTAATGAAGTAACTATGAGGGATGACAGATCTCACCACTGGGCCACCCCCAGCAGCTCACTGGAACCAGCAGAGAAGGGTGCTAAAGGAGCTCTAGCTCACCAAAGGTTCTGCCCATGAAGTTCCTGATTGGGTGAATCATCTGGCCCCACCAATTGGCTCACATGCACTACTTAAGCCAGAAGAAGGCACAAGAAGTCGTCCAAGCAACTAGGTGGATCTCTGCCTGCTACTTCGGACCCTGCCTTCTTGCTTGACTCCTGTGCTCTATACTTCTGCCTGTTCCTGTCCACCTTATCCCAGATCCACCTCTGTTCCTGGTTCCCACTTTTCTTGCTCCAAGTCCCTGCTCCTCCACCCTATCCAATGCCAGCTTTGCCCCCTGGTTTAACTCCTTACTCCAACTCCAGGTTGGCCCATGGCTCATCCTTAGTCTGACTCTGACTTCAATCCTTCACTTGACTTTGGACTCTGTCTCAAGCTCCAACCGCTGGTTCCAGATCCTGGCTCCTGACTGACTACAAGGCATGACCGCCAATACTCTGATCCCTACAGTAACAAATAGTAAAAAGCTAACTAGCTTGTGGACATGAGAGGGTTCCATTCAGCTCTCTGCAGAGGCAGCAAAGGAACTGTGTCACTCCAATGTATAGAGAGAAGCAAGGACATCATCCTAGTGGGAGAGCACTCTTGCACCCCTCAAAATACATGGCTTTTCTATGCAGTTCATAGCTCCATGTCAGAGGTGCCAAATCCCATAAGTGGAAATGCACAGAGCCCTCGAAGGATTCCCCATTACCCCAACTCTGTGCCTATCCGCTCCTTTCTTGTATGCCAGCAACATGAAATCCTATTAACTGAGCATTTCATGATATTTGCATCTGATCACCTGCCATCATAGAGAAAATTTTCACAAAAGTTTGTAACTGTAAAGTGGCAACCACATCATATCTTTTCAAAAATTGGCTTTGATATTGTTTTTATTTTAAACACTGCTAGTCAACAGGAAAACTTGATTTGGTGGAACCTTTACTGCAATTACAATGCTAAAGAAAATATTATGTAGGGGCCATCCTAAGGATGAAATGCAAACCTGTAAAGCATTCTATGAAGAAAAATAATAAAGCTGTAAGCAGGTCACTTGGAACACATTATTGTAACTTTCAGAGCATTTGGCTTGCCAACACTGGGAGACAAGGTGGATGAGGTAATATCTTTTATTGTACCACCTTCTGCTGTGAAAGAGACTAGCTTTCAAGCTACAGAGAGTTCTTTAGATTTCCCGTTACCCAGTGAAATCACTAAGAGCTGGGCTAAATGATGGAGCCTCAGAACATAGCAGAAGTGGCAGTGAGCAGCAAGCAGCAGCGATAAGTGGCAGAGCTGAGCAGCAGCAGAGATAACAGTGGCAGAGGTGAGAGCTAGAGCCCTACACATGACTATTTTTAATCCGACTCCTGTCCCGCTCCCGTTAGTATGGCAGTGGACCCTGCAGGACCCCACAGGATCCCAGTCCTGCACTGCGGGAATCGGCAACAGTGAGACAGTTGTAGAGGCAGCAGCAGCATCCTTTTAGGGCTCGGAAGTGAAGCCATGTGAAAGCACCTCTGAACTCTAGGTCTTCAGTGACCAAGCACAATCACTGTGAGTGAGGTGCAGCGGAGGGAAAGGGAAGTGGCATGTTAAAGGCCCATTCGTTCACTGGACTTTCATACCACAAGGTGGGATACTGAGGCAAAGGACGCTGCCTAATGTACTGTGGGGTGGGTGTTTGCTTTCGGTTACATGCTTTTGAATCATGCTTGAAGTGTTTTCCCAAATTAATGCTGGGTTCCCTTTCCCTTTTAATAAAAGTTTTCTTTTGTTATACACAGGATCAGTGATTGACAGTGGGGAAGGACTGCCTCTTAGAGATGCCCAGGGATGGTGTTTTGTTTTCCCAGATTATTGGGTGGGGGCTAGAACTAGTTCTGTTTTGTAGTATTAAGAGGAATCCCCAGATATTGAACCTGGTCCTTGCTGCTGCTGACTTGAACTGGCAGAGGGGTAGCGTAGCTCAAACATTTCTCTCGTTTGCCAACAGAAGTTGGTACAATAAAAGATAGGACCTCACCCACCTTTTCTCTCTAATATTCTGGGACCAACATGGCTACAATATCACTGCAAACAACACTGATAATGTTTCTTGACTGTTAACAAAAGAGTATCACAAAAGAGTGCAACAATTTTATTAATCAAATTATGAAGATCTAATAAAAAAACGAACATCATTTAAACAAATATTCCAAACAAATTACCAAAGTCCAGATTCTGATACTCTCATTCAGGTTGAGTAGTCTCAATGACTTCAATAGGACTACTCAGGGAGTAATCAGCATGAGGGAAAGATATCAGAATCTAGCCTCATACAGCTTCTGGCGGTTCCACTCAAAAGGACAGGCACGCAAATTAAAAATGATAGCCAATTAGATTTTCAATCAATCAATCTAGTCCATTGCAAAACTTCTTGTCCAGCACAGTTCTAAATGTAAAGTTTAGAGAAACAGATGGAAGATATTCTACATGTCTAAAACAAAACAAGAAAATGGAAAGGAGAAAGATTACCTTAGTAACTGAACAGTTGACCCATATTCTTCTGTTTCCCACACACTCTTTCCCAAACATGCACAGTGCAGCTCTCTGATCTATGAACCAGTATATGAGTAAAGGGAATACAATGTTTTACAAAACAAGTAATGGGTTAGTTTTACATTCACTTTTCAAAACAATGACTGACTCATTCAAAGAGTGATCCTGTGAGGAGCTGAGTGCTCTCAACTCTCACTGACTGCAATTTGAGGTGAAGGCATTCAGCATCTCTTGGGACTAGGCCCTCAGTGTGGCAAGAATATGCTTGCCGCTCAGCACTATGTTTTAACAGGGTCCATTCGGGTGATGGGAATGCAGGGATTAGAAACGAACCTGAATCAAAACCTCTGATTCAAACATTCCACATTCCCAAACATTAGGAAAATTCAGAGTGAATTCACAGCTAAGATCCACATCTAGTAACAATGTACCTGATACATCTAGAATCAATGTGAAAATGCACATCATGGAATGTTCTGTAGCATTAATAGGAGAATGTGGGACAAAAATAACTGCTTGGTATGAGAAGCTGAGTTTGGTCATACCAGAGCTCTAATGCAAGTCAATATACAAACTAACTACTAAGAATACCCATGACTGTCCCATCACTGCTATGTTGTTCCTGCCAAAAGGATGTTGTTAATTCTCATCTGAATCTAACCATTAGGCAACCAGTTGATTGATGATAGGAGGAATGGAAAACTGTCTGTATTACATATGAGAAATCCAGATGCATAAAAGCCGAACACATCACACAGGCACTGGCTGTTCTGTGCATCTGCTTCTCTCTACAAGCCCTCTGCTGTTTACTCACAACAAAGTATTATAGGCATTGTTAAAGAAATGATGTGCTGTTCCCCCAGTCCATAATAAAGACAAAAATATCTGACTGTATGTGGGAAGGGCATGGAGGAAAAGAGGAGTGGAGAGGGAAGGAAGGAGTGGACTTCAAATTTGTAAAGATGTCAACCATGAAACAAGAGAGGTCCAGGGAATGATGGTACTTCACCTGTTTGCCCAAAGGGTACTTTGGAAGGGAAGTTGTGAAAACATGAAGACATCTCAGAACTGTGAAATAATTCTCATGGTAAATATGCAAGTCTTCCAGTAATGTCTGTGTTACCTCCTAAAATGACAGAATAACAGTTTAACAAAATAGTTCAATATCCACCAGAACAAAGCAGTATGAAAATCACAAAATATCAAAACATAAATAAAATATTTTAAGGGAACCCTAATGTTCTGACAAACTAGGAGGGACTGATTTACATCAAAGTGATTTTAATCATGATTTAAATCAGCAAGCAGGAAATCTTGATTTAAATAATTGATTTCAATCTTGTTTCACATTTGTACCTTTTTAGTTATTTTCCTAAAGAAAGATTCATTCTCATTGGTTGATATAATCATTAAAACATGTTGATTTGCAACTAAATATGGTCTTTATACTCGATTTGGTACTTCTTTTTGCTAATCAGCAGGACAAACTATCTATATACATTTATTTAAGCAATTATATGGCTCAAAATACATTTATTCAGATTCTTATTTTTTCAGATTTTTATTATGTTAGAAATGATGTATTTCCTATTTACTAGATGATAATGTCTTACTCATGCTTTGTGTCAAACTGCATTTGGACAGAAATTGGAATTAAATTAAAAATAAACAAAAACCAGCAGTTTAATTTAAAACTGATTTATTAAAACAAAGGAAATATTAAATGTAGTTAATGACTTGACAGATTGAAAACCTGGCCCATGGTGACCAGAAAAAGATATTTAGAGACAAAGAGATTTTCAAAAGTGCCTGAGCAGTTTACATGTCTAATTCCCACTGAAATCAATGAGAGGTAGGCACTGGACCTACTTAAGCATTTTTGAAAATCCCATTAGGTGCCTCTGCATTTTTAGGTGACTAAATACCTTTGAAAATCTATCCTATGTCCTTCAAATTTTTAGAATTAGTAGATCTCATCCTCACCAGCTGGTTTTTATTCATAGACTGGAAGAGGTAAACAAGCTTTTCTGCTTTTTCAGCTCCTAAATGGTTTCTCAACTTTGAATGAACTAGTTCAAGTGAAAAAATATATATATTCCCCCTGCACTTGCTAGCTCAACTGAAAGCAATACTAATTAAGGCAAAAGCTTTTCTGCACAACAAAAAAGAAGTACTTATATTTGGAAAAATGTAAATAACATTCGCTCCATTGTAAAGACTGAAAATAATATAGATAACTTACTTATGCAGCACTTGGATTTATAACACTGAGACTGGAAGTACATCAGTTGTAAATGAACAAAAAGGTCATAGTTCTGTTTCTGCAGATAGGGTGAGATTCTGTTCTAAAACTCCCAATCTAGGGTAGACAGGACTACGGTAGCTTTAAGCCATCTTTCTGCCCTCCTGATCCAGGGTTGCTCTCAGGGAGGGAAGGCCCACAGTGTACCTTAGACAGCCATTGGTGTCTGTCTAAACTACACATTTTCCCCAGATTGCCCCAAGGGTGGGCCACAGCACAGTCTCGAATCCCCAGAGTGCTGTGCATTGCAACATTGTCCCTAACATGCCCATCCTGCCCCCAGCACATCCCCTGTGCTAGAGCTTACAAGGGAGTCCTTGGAAGGCAGCCTCATGGAAATCTTATGAAGTGCCTGTGCCCAAGGAATCCTCCCCTGACTACATAATGAACTTTTAGGGTTCCTTTTATGCTGTTTTGGCCCTTTTTCCTGGCATAAAAGAACCACAGCAGGACTGAGGATCTCAACCACAGTGTAAACCTATAACTGGTCTCTCATCATCTAAGTGGTTCCTGTTATATTAAGGTCTAAGTAAAGCTAGGTCAAGTATCTTTTTTTTGGATGGCCAGGAATCAATGATGTCTATCCTAGCCTGCCATTCCACCACCTTTGCTTTAAAAAGACTCATTAAAAGCAGACTTATTCCATACATGTGTGCCCTTGTATTTTGTTGAACATATAAGAGATCTCTCTTTCTGTTCTCAGATATGCAGGCTGTGAAACTGATTAGTGCAGATGGCTAACAAAATGCAGGAAGTTCCCACAGCTCCCATTGGCTGGGAACGGCGAACCGCGGCCACAGGGAGCTGAGGGGTTCCGTGCCTGTGAACGCTCCAGGTAAACAAAACGACAATGTATTCGATATTCAATTCAATGATTCCATAGTAAAATCATCAAATTTTGGTGTAGACCCGATTATAAGCCGACCCCCGCTCTTTCACGTGTCACTTTTTTACCAAAAATATTCAGCTTATGACCGAGTATATATGGTAAATACCACAGATTCAAACACCTCTGGGTACTGGAAAAGATTTGATTCAATTCCAAAAGTATGTCACGGAGCTTAGAGCCACAAAGAACACTGAACCAATGTGGGGTGATCTTGAAAAGCTCAGTGCTAAAATTAATTGTTCTGTTTTCATTCAAACTTTCAAAAATGACTTTGGTCTTGGGTTCTATTCTTCATACCACAATTACATATTTGTGTAAGAGAAATCAATAGTGTAGATGAAAGAACATCCAACAGTAGCTCTGATTTTTTCCCCTGGTGCCACATAGCTCCTTGGCATAGCTATAACTTTAACAAGCAGTGCCTTGTGGCTGATGGATCTAAAGCCAAATCCTTTCCTTCTGATACATGACAGTTTTTTTTTTCTCATTTGATGGACAATAAGTTCATAATGTCCTTTCTGTTATTAAGGAAACAGAGCAAGTGAGGCAATGACTGGACTGAGATTAAACATTTGCATTACTGTGACTTGGATCGCTATTTTCTTAGTACACAGAAAAGGAAGCTGGCATTTCCTTAGCAGATGTCTTAAAACAAAATAGTTTCATTCCACTCCATTCTGGAAAGATTGTCTAGTATGAGATCATATCCTTCACTATTTAGGCACTTGTGTCAGAATTTAAAAATTAACAAAACAAAACAAAAAAAACCCCACAAAAAACGATTTAGTGTAATTGCATTTCAATCTTTAAATAAAATAAGATACTTCCCAAATGAAGAATGTTGGGTCTAGTTGTATGCAAGCTTTATATTTTGTAAGACGGGGAAACAATGGGAAAATTGATGAGGCAGTGTTATTGGTTGCAGCTCCCCAACCTTCTAGCAGAGGTTATAGTTACTATGAATTCTGTTTTCCTGGAGAGAAAGATGAACTTAAATCACTGTGGACATGAAAGGGGTTTTTGATCTGTGGAAGAGTCTTAAATCCCAAGATGGTGAAATGGTGTTTATGATGAAACTCAGTTTAAGTCTTTTTGGACATTCAATATTAAAATTGATGCTTCCTTTGTTTTAAGCTTTTCAATCCATTTGTAGAATGCTCAAATGGGACATCAGCAAAATAGAATAAACCTTATTTGAAGGGCAGAATAGAAAGTTCTGTCAGCTAGACCAAAATAAAGAGCATAGGGGGATTTATTGTTTTTAACTCCTCTGTGAATTGTAGAAAGAAAAATCATTCACTTGGCTACACGCTGACTTTATAGATCCTTTTCTGGCTGACTGCAGAGTAAGTAATACTCTGTCAGAGAATTTATATGTTTAGATTCCTCCTCTCAGCAGCAGCCCATCTGCAGAAGAGGTTATTGCAGTAATGGTTGGTTATTTTACTGGGGGAGGAGGGAGAAGAGTTACTGGCAAGATGAATTTAACTGTAACAATTCAGTATCTTCTAGGGTCAGTGTGGGATTATAGAAGCTATCTGTTTTCCAAACTGTCTTAGTTTGAGATCTTAGGATCAGTAGAACAGAAAGACATCAATCAGAACAACATCTTCATGACTTCTGAAAGATTGCTTGTCAGAAACTTTCTAGCTTATAATTCTATGTGGTGGCAAACAGATCTGTGACAGAGATGAAACATCTGATCAGAGACTAGTTGTTTTCAATTCCCCCTCATGAAGGCAGATCTTTATCACTCCAAGGACTTCTGCTTGGCATTTCATGGCTGTTAGAATATGGATTGTTGTCAAATGGATATCACTTCCTTGGAAGTATTGCACAAGTTGCCAGGTTTCACAGCAGTGGGCTTGTGATCTGCTACCTCTTGGTTTGTTTACTAAGAAAACTTCCTCTCTTATTCTACTGCAGAAATACTAATAGAACAGATCACAATAAAAAGTGAACTCATTATAAATAAATAGGTTCTCTCTGTCTGCTTTAAGAATTTCTCCTTAAGAGACAGCTGACTAGCTAATTCCAATTCTATATTCCATGACTGCATTCAGAATACAAAAAAAATATATGCATCTTTTGGCTCTGTGAAAGCCATCCCACTCTCTGGTTATGAGATTTCCATTATCTGTCACACATCAAATTTTCAGGAAAAGTGACCAATAATAAAGTCCACATTTTATAAATCCAGGGAGGCCTATATGAAGCTGCAGAGATACTCCTCAACTTTCAAGCAGGCAACTTGGAAACATAGATAATGGCCATAATAAATCAGACCAATGGTCCATCTAATCCAGTATCCTGTCTCTAACAATGGCTGGTACCTGATGTTTCAAAGGAAGATGCAAGAAACTCCAGAGTGGATAACCTTACCATTGAAGAAATTTATTAACTCTGTCACTTAGCTGGTTTATGCTCCAAAGCCTGAGAGTTTCTCTATTTTTATAATCCTATCTAATAAAATGTGGATGCTTTCATAAACCATACAAATATCTAAACCGTTTTCCAGTTATATTTGTGGCAATGATTTTCACAGGTTAGTTATGTGTTCGGTAAAGAAGTATTTCCTTTTATCAATTTTAAACGTATTGCTTGCAATTGAATTTCCCCGTGCTCTTGTGTTATGGGAAAGGATAATAAGGAGCGCATGATTTATCTTCTTAAATCATTGGTTATTTTGTTTATCTTTCTCATGACCCCTCTAAGCCATCCCCTCTCTAAACTAAACAGTAACAGCCTTTTCAATCTCTTTTCAGAAGGGACTCTTTCAAAAGCAACAATAATTTTTATTGCCTTCCTCCAACCCCCTGCTGTCTTTTTTCAGATGGGATGACCACAGCTGAACACAGTATTCCAAGTGATGGTAATATCATAATTTTATATAAAGTCATTATATAATATAATATTATTATATATTTCAGGATAATATTATAATATTTTCAGTATTACTGTTGATTCCATGCTTTATACATCTTTTCTTTTTGTTTGGTTGTTTTTTTCTTTTCCCCCCCACCACAGCTGTACACAGAGGAACAGACCTCCCCCGCTACACCCACCCAAGTGATTGCAGTTGATTTAGAACCCAGCAATATGCATAAATAGTTCAATGATTACTTCTAATTTGCACTAACTTACATTTATCAACACTGAATTTCATCAGCCATATGCTGCCCATTCACCAAGCTTTGCTCACAGTCTTCTATAGTCTCCCCATCAGACTTCCTTTCTGCCTTTGACTCCCGGCACACACTCTTTCTCTCCTGACAATCTCCCACATTCATCCTCTGCGACTTCAGCTTCCATGTTGATACCCATCTGATCCCTTAGCCACCCATTTCTTGTCCTCATCTCTTCATTTACCTGCAGCATTCTTTCAACTCTCCCACTCATCAAAAAGGCCATTCCCTTGAGTTGGTCTTCACCAAGCACTCCTCTCTCTCTGATCTTTCTGTTGCTGAGTTCCCCTTCTTGGATCATCACCTGGTCTTTTTCAGTGTCACCCATGAGCCCTTCTTCCCATCTTGTCACTCAGCATTTCAGTGACTTCATCCATCAACACTGATGATTTCTCATCTACTCTCAGCCCTCTCCACCCTGCCCTCTCTTCCACCAACAGAGTTGTTTATTCTTTGCATGCTTCACCATCTTCCACTTGCTTTTGTCCCTCTCTCCCTTCACAGTGTCTGCCCTACTAACCCCTAGTGCTGACTCATCCCAATATCTGCTGCTTCTGCTCTTACACTGCAGAGCATCTCTGGCAGAAATCCTGTGACCAGGCTGACTTTCTCCAATACAGATATGTTCACTACTCTTCAGATTTGCCATCTTCCTAGCTAAACAGCTCTACTACTCCAATTTAACTGAATCCCAAGCCTGCAATTTCAGTCACCTTTTCACTATCTTGGACTCATTCCTCAAAGCTTTCCTTCCTCCATTTCTATTCTCTGCACAGGATCTTGCTGCTGTCTTCCAAGAGAAAACGGAAGAAATAGGACAGGGAACTTCCCCCTCCCCTCAGCATGCCTCCTACAATTCTCTCCTCCTCCCATCACAGAAGCATGAAGTTTCTCGTCTGCTATCCTCCTCTAACCCCTCCACTTACCCCAGCAGTTACCCGATCCCATTCCATCCCCTGATCTCCCTCTCACTCACTCCCTTAACTGTTCTCCTTAACCTCACTCTCCTCTGTCTCTTTCCTTTCAAATACAATCACTGTTCCACTGTACTTGATTCCACTTGCCTCTCCAACTATCGCTGCATCTCTCTTTCTTCTCTAAATTCACTGAACATGTCATCTATAAGCACTGTCCAGTATTCCTCTCTTCCAATTCCATCCTAGATCTTCTAATCCAGTTTCTGCCCCTCGTACTACGTTAAAACCAGTTTGTTAAAGTCTCTAATGACCTCTTCCTGGTCAAAGCTCAGAACCAGTACTCCATCTCCTCCTCTTTGACAAATGAGCTGCCTTCAACACTGGCAACCATGCTCTTCTTGGAGTCTTGTCCTCCCTTGGCTGCTTCCATGACTCTGCCCTCTCCTGGTTCTCCTTCTATCTCTCTAATCACTCCTTTAGCACATGCTTTGGAGGATCCTCCTCAACTGCCCTCCAACTTTCTCGGGGGTTCCACATGGTTCTGTCCTCAGTCCCCTTGTCTTCTACTCTCCTTCTAAGCTTTATCTCTGCAAACACAAATTCAACTTCCAATGCATCTCCATGCTGATGACCACAGACCTCTACTCCGGATCGGTCTCTCTACTCCGGATCTGTCGCCTTCTGTGCAAATTAAAATCTTGGCCTGTACCTCTGATGTTTCCTTTTGGATGTCTAGCTGTCATCTCAAGCTCAAAATTGCTAAAATAGAGTTCTTAATCCTCCCTCCACATCTCCTTTTTCTATCACTGTGAACAAAACCACCATCTTGCCTGTCACTCGGGCCCATAGTCTGTGCATCATCTTCAACTTAGACCTCAGTCTAGGTCCTTACATCCAGTCTATGTTTAAATTTTGCTATCTCCATAACATCTTTAAGACATGGCCCCTAAAATTCTAGTCCATTCTCTCATCAGTTCTAATCTTGATCCGTGCATATCCCTCTCTTTGGTCAGGACGAATGCAATCTTACCCTGCTCAGAGCCATCCAGAATGCTACTCCATAGGTCATTTTTCTAGCTTGTTGCACTGGCTGTGTCACCTCTCTCTTTGGATCCCTCCACTCATTTCATCTTCTTTATCATCACATCAGACATAAGCTGCTTGTCTTCACTTTCAAGGTTCTTCATGGCCTATCCCTACCCTACCGATCATCTCTCATCCTCACTTCCAACTGGCCCATGATGCCAGCTTTCATCACCCACTTGCTAAATTTTCAAACAAGCGCCTTTGTGCTTTCTCCCATGCTGCCCCTCATACCTGTGAGGAGCTACCATAAACAGCTGCAAAGCTACCCTATTATCCACCTTCAAATCCCTACTTAAAACTCTCCTTTGTCCATGAAGGCTACAAAAAACTTGACAACAGTTTTCACTGCTGGTATACTGATACCACTGCCTATCATGCTGTGGTTTCATGAGTATCCTGTGGTCTCAGGAGTATGGTCTCAATATTTCCTTGTACTCCCGTCTCATACTTAGATTGTAAGCTCTTTGGGGCAGGGTCATCTTTTTGTTCTGTGTTTGTACAAACGTAACATAATGGAGTACTGATCTATCACTGGGGCCCTTAGGTGCTATATTAATACAAATAATTAATAACTTAACTTTGGAATGAGGTGGTATATCAGCCCAACGGTGCTGAGCAGATCAAATGTCACTCAGTCAGGGAAGGCAGCGTAAGGCCTTCACTAAGGCATGGCAATGTCTTCAAAAGTCCATATAAAAATATTTTAGAGAAACAGATTATATCCCTTCAAATGTTCTGCTAGCAGCCTGGAGATATAGTTAGCTTACAAGTAAACCTTGTCACTCCCTTATGCACTTGTAATCTTGAACACTTTATTCAATGTATTTTAACATGATTTAGCCCCACTAACACTGGCTGGCAAAAACATGTTAAAACAGTTTAATCCTGAAGTGGTTTTAAAATGTTTAAAACTAGACTGGAAACTAAAAATGCAGATTTAGGCAACTAACAGAAATGCTGACCCTTGGATTTTATGGCAGCCTAGGTGCTGTCTTGGTAGGAAAAGAGCATACTCAAAATGAGTACAGGATAAACTAGGTCTCCTGAGTTAACATTTCTCTGTAAAACAAATTTTTATGCTTGTGGCAGTGTGAGAGTCATGGCTACACCTACAACAGCTGTAACATTTACTTACACTGTCACTTATATCTAGCTCATTTTGTAAAACATTTATATTGGACATGCATCTGAAGATTTTAAAAGTGCTTTATAAATTAAGGCCCCAGTCCTGAAATTCTGTTTAGCGTGAGTGAACACTTTGTATCCATAGGGAGTCTGACTGATTTTAATGGAGATCTACACAAGGTACAGGAGCCCACATATGGAACAGCCTGCAGGATTAATTCTTCGTCCCTTGTTCTGGCAAACACTCCATTGAGTTTCATGGGTTTTTTTGCTTGAATAAGTAGTAAGAGTGGGTCCTAAATAATTGAGCCCCACAACCTCCCTGGTAATTATTTTACCCATTTTACAGATGGTAAACTCAATGCACAGAAAGGCTGAGGGACCTGCCCAACACACCACAGAGTAGAATTGGGACTATCATGTAGATCTAAAGCCCAGCTCTCAAATCATTAGACATGTTTTAGGATATCTACAAAATGAAAGATGCTACACAGAACCAAGTTCTACCTTAGTTTTCTATCCCTTTTCATGCAAAAAGATGGGGGTTTTGGAAGATTGTTCCTATCCCCCAAATGATTTTACACTTTACCTTTAAAAAACTGTCCTCAGTCAGAAGTGCAATTTGTTTTTCTGAGACTTGACTTTCCACATATCTGAAGTAAAAAACAAACAAAAATATTGGTATAATATAAAGTTACACAATACATATTTTAAAAATGGTGGTGGTCAGGATTCTGTTGGGTCTGTGGCCACTACAAAATCCTGCAGTTTAAGTTCTGGGTCTGCCATAACTTCTCAACTGATTAGATCATTTGTCAAAAGAATATGTTTCTACACGAAGGACAAGAGGAAAAAATGGATCTTTCAACAGAAGGATTTTACAGCAGATTTTACACAAAATAAAAGCTGCATTCTTTAGACAAGAGATTAAAGAATTTCAGAAGTAATTCACAACTGTCCCTGTTTTGTGTAATATACGCACATATAATTACACATTTCACAATGCTGTATTTACAAGTATTAAAAAAAATGCTCATTGAATATAGGACTGTTCAAAATATTTATTTCTCCTTTACCTTCTAAAAGATGGCAGGCTTCGAATGTTTTCACACTGATTGTGAGATAAAGAATTTACTCTCTTCTTAGCTTCCAGGAGCTGGCAGCACAACACACTGAGGGGCTGGGAATAGAAATGCTCCACAACAGACAGCTGAAAGAGACAATGCAGTAAAAACCTGTAATATCTATGCAGTTCACTTTCCTTGCGGTGTCCTAGCATTTAAATAAGCTAAGCAATTTATTAACAATTGCTAAAATGACATTTATTTAAAAATGTTAGAGTCTATTCAGTCAACACATCAGATTACATTAATAATCTTCTACTTTCCATTGTCACTAGAGGTGGTTGATTATTATTCAATGAATAATACAGGCAACCTCATTTTGACATTTTCTGCTGCCCATATCATTCAGTCAATTGCTTTTTGTTTTATACGAGATCTATAGCTGCTCAATTATTACTTGATTTATTTATTCTTTGAATAATAGCAAAATTCAGCAATTACATTAGGTATTACATAATTTGTTGGGTTATGTGACCAGGCCCAACCTCACAAATGCCAAAGCACCAAGTAAAGAGTGTATCATTTAAGGCACAAATGTTAGCTAGAATGCATTAAATGAAGCAACGGAACATGACAAGATCCCACATTTCACATATCTGATCCTGTAAACATTTACACATGTGCTTAACTATGCTACTTTGAGTTGCTCCCCTGACTAAGTGTGTAAGTGTTTGCAGGTCTGGGGCCTTACAGTATAGTAGAAAACATCCTTCTGACTCAATGCAATTTTTTTTGAAAGACTGCACCACAGTCATTCTGGAAAAAAAAAAAAAAAGGTAGTAGTACAAAAACTGGGCAGGTATATTGAGATGGAAAGATTTTTCCTGTCACAAAATTCTTTATATGATTGACGTTTTTTTAGTATTAGCATGCAAAATTGAAAGGCATCAAAGAATACCTATACAATTAATACATACAAAATTTGTTTCTACCCTTTCAGGTAGATTCTCTTTTTTTGTTTCTAATTTTTTATTCATATGATTGTGCCACAGAATAAGCGGTTTCTAAACTGCCTTCCCACAATTCCTGCTAGCTTCCCAACAGCTTTCCCATTTCCAAAAAAAACCTATCTAGAGACCTGATTTCAGTTATAGTATTCAATGGGAATTTTGCCACTGACTTCAATGGGAGTAAAATCAGGCCATAAAAAACTGAGTACAAGTCTGCCGCCAAGGAGTAATCCTATTGCATTTTCACCACCGCCTATCTGTAATTGAAATTCGTCTTACTCCTGCTTACCTGAAATCCTTTGATAAAGTTCTGGACAGAGAAATCATGGTACAAAAATATGTTGATTAGAACTTGCAACACTTTCTCACTTAGTTTAAAGGGAAACTGAGTTGTCAGAAGTAGCTGCAGGAGACAAAGGGAAAAAAAATATTTCCTTGCTAAATGTTACCAGAATAGATTACATTTCAAGGTAAATGTAACTGCTAGTAGCAACAGCTAATTATAATAATGTTCCTTCTTGAATATGGAAATAGCAAAGCAGCGTTTGGTTCAACTCTCAGAATGTGCTAAAATTAAACTATATTAATGGATTAACGCATGTAGTCATCTTCAGCCAAACCACATTTATTTCCATTGCTGCAAAAACACACACACTTATTTAAAGCTTATGATTCCACCACATCCTGAACTTTATATTGTCTGATTTTAGTTATGTTCAAACTTGACATTAATTTTACCCATAATTTTTCAAATTATGAATGATAGAACAAATATTATAGCAGGTTTCTGGGACAAAACTACTTTCTGCAAGCATATGCAATAGTTCTGCTGGCACTCTACAAATGCATCCCACTGAAATCACACGAGCAAAGTGTCTGCATGATGGGACCTTAGATTTGGATAATTCTGCTCATTTTCAAGGGGCTGCAGAATTCACATTAAGCTGCAATATTCAGTGTAAATATAAGCGATGTGAAGCCATCCCTATTTAGAACTAAGTGAATCTTACTTCAAAGCAGCACTATAATAAAGGGGAGTGAATGAAAACCATATAGTTGTGTGTGCATGAACGTTAATACAAACGAGAAGTGAAGATATGTACTGAATAATTTCTGAATGTCTCCAACACGTGTGAAGAGGAAACTCTCAACATATGTAAGTGAGCTTAAAGACATGGGTATACAGAGACAATATTCAGAACATATGGCTCTCAAGAACAGATCCCACTTTAAAAGCTTCACACTAGTCTACTTTTAAAGCATAAGATGCTATGTATACATACACCATACTTGTACACATTTATTCCTCCCTCATTTATCTAGAAATGGAATTACCTTGTCAATTACTGTAGCCAGGTGCTCCTTGCAGGAAAGAGACTGGAAAAGCTCTATACACAGCAGAGAAGAAACAGAATGAGGAAGTAACCTGTGGATGATCATTGGAGACGTGGCAATTCCAAAAATGAGTACAAGAGGGAATTCATGTATGTGCTGACTAGACCACAAAGTGGGGAAGGAAAAAGAAAACATAATAGTTATGCGGGTTTCCCCAGCACCACAACCACAAGGCAACACAGTATATTCCCAATACAGCACTACTCTCAAAGGTACAACGTAAATAGACAGCTACAATTCTAACAAGAGGAGTTTTGATCTGGGAAGAAAATGAAAAGGGTAGAGCAGAAATTATAAGCACCCAAGGAAAAAAAACAAATCAAACTGTATCCTGAGGACCAATCTTCAGGAAGATGCTTGTAAAACATCTGCTTTTAGTGTTACAGTACAGGAAAGGTTTCCCTTTGCTAGTTTTACCTAGCGGAAAAAGATAAAAGTCTATCTACCTACCATCACAACATTCCACTCCAAGGTGGATTGCCATCCTGTCTTTACCCACCTACTGACCCAGTGTTTCCGCAGAGGACTCAATAATGCCTACCGTGAACTAGGTGAGCCTGCTACACCATGGGACCTGAACCTGGTCCTTCTAAATATGCCTTGAAATTATTTTCATTTTTAAGGAACAACTTTAATAAATAGTGTTGAAAGGCTCACATGGATAAAAATAATTAAATGGGGAATGAAATTATTATTTACTCTTTGAATTGCAGTAGGACCTAAGGGCCACAATCATAGATCAAGGCCTGATTGTTTTTTGTGATTATACGGTGTCTAGCACAAAACAAAACAAAACAAAACAAGAGCCCCAAGACTTTAACAAGTATTGTAGTTTCCTTAAATAAAATAAAATAAAAAAATAAAGCAAGACATTTAGAATTGAACTTACAAGAAACCCAACTTTCTGAAAGTATGGAATGCAGTTAGATAATTCAAACAATTGTAACTTTCCACCCACATTAACATCCTGAGATGAACCAGAAACATTATTCATCTGAATTCCGAATTGCCGTATCAGATCTGACCAAAGTCCCTATCTTCACCAATCCTATCTCTGATAGCAACCAATAACAAATGCTTCAGAAGAAGGGGATAAAGTGATCCATAATTGACATTTACACAAATTAGAAAGACAAGGTGGGTGAGGTAATATCTTTTATTGGACCAACCTCTGTTGGGGAGAGAGAAACTTTCAAGCTACACAGAGCTATTCCTCAGGTCTCAGAAAGATACTCCGAGAGAAGAGCTCTGTGTAGCTCAAAAGCTTGTCTCTCTCACCAACAGAAGTTCATCCAAAAAAAGATATTACCTCACCCACCTGGTCTCTCTAATATCTTGGGACCATCACAGCTACAACACCACTGCATATTTACACAAATTAGCATTCCTATGGGAGAAGTTAATTCTATCTCCTAGAAAGTTTTGTGTTTGGCTTGTTTTTATCCTAGCATATCTGTGATTAATAAATATAATATATGAATAATAACACACACCTCTTTTTAAAATCTAACTAGACTCTTTGCCTCAAAAACATATTGTGGCAGTGAGTTCCACAGTTAATTATTTGTGGTGTAATTCATGTATCTTTAGCAGTTTTAAATGTACTGCTTTTTAATTTCACTGTTTATCAAGTTGTTCATGTGTTACGAGAAAAGGAAAATTGGAATGCCCAAATAGCTCTTTCTATATATACGCACGCAATAAGTTTTAGATCTACTATACACTCACTCACTTGTTCCTTCTCTAAAACAAACAATCCTAAAACTTCTAAATTTTTCTTTGTTTTGGAGTTTTTCCATTTCTCTTATCATTTTTGCCCTCTCTGGATCTTTTCTATGTCTAGTTCATTTTTTCTGACATGTGATGACCAGAACTGAGCACTGTGTTCAAATGAGGGTATATCACTGCTTTATAAGAGGTATAGCCTCTTCCCTTTTCTAGATTCATGTTATCCAAAACAGTGTTATACAATTTAACACTGCCCCTTAAAGTTCACCAATATATTAAATAATACTAGTCCCATTACAGATCTTTGTGGCACCCCACTACTAACTTTCTTCCCTGATGAAAACTGACTATTCCTTCTTTTTGTTCTCAACCTCTTAGCCAGTTTTCAACCCATGACAGGGCTTCAACTCTAATCCCATAACTATATATCATTTCCTTAGCCACTTTTTAGGAGGGATTTTTAAAGTTATATATAGCATCTGTCCCTTATCTACTATTCTGTTGGCTACCTCAAAGAATTCTAACAGATTGAAGAAGTAGGATTTTCCTATGCAGAAACCATGGTTTTTGTTTGTTTTTTTAAACTTTATGTCATCAAGATGTTTTAACTCCATCTTTAGTATCAGGTAAATTAGTTTGTAATAACAAAGTAAAGTGCATTTGTCTAATTCCCAGGGAAATCCCCAGCACATTCTTTAAAAGATAAGGCACAACATTGACTGACTTCTAGTCCAGCAGTACAGTACCAGATTTTAAGGAAGACAACTTTTAATTGTACAGTTATTGCACTGACACTAGACTTCTTCTACGCAGGTCTTCCAGGGGGTACATCAACTCATCTAGATATTTGCCTAGTTTTACAACAGGCGACATAAAAAGCACTAGCAAAGTCAGTACTAACTAAAATTTCATACAGGCAGTGACTTGTTTATACTGTTTTATATATACCATACACTGAAATGTATGTACAATATTTATATTTCAATTGATTTATTGTACGATTACATGGTAAAAATGAGAAAGTAAGACTTTTTCAGTAACAGTGTGCTGTGACACTTTTGTATCTTTATGTCTGATTTTATAAGCAAGTAGGTTTTAAATTGGGTGAAACTTGGGGTTCGCAAGACAAATCAGACTCCTGAAAGGGGTATACTAGTCTGGAAAGGTTGAGAGCCACTGCTCTAGCAAACCACAGGACAAACATCCAAACTTATCTAGTGCTGGAACCCTCCCACTCAACTTCAAATATGTGAACTCAGCTATTCCGCATTAGACAGGCACCATGACAATAACCACCCCTTCAAGACTTCAGAACTCTGGAAATTAGGTAGTATTCTAACAGTTCATCATTTCTACTGCTAACAGTGCTTGTTTTCCACTGCCTGCTCACCTGCACCACTATTGCTATTCTCAAAATTTCTGATTCAGTTTTCCATCCTCTCCATGTCCTTGTAAAGGGATACTGCATGTCCCAGGATTTTACAATCAAGAAGAGATATGTTGTAACTCCAGAGTTAGCTTGGGTGATCAACAATGAGGTCTGAGAACCCTGTTTAGCCTAGCCTGGATCTCAGCAGCTGTACTGAGAAGCTGTACCCGAGTTATTGTGTCCTTACTGCTGCTGCACCCCCTCAACCACAAGTGTCGCTAGGACTTCTGGGGGCATATCCAAGGATTCTTTGTGCTGCATTTAGCTGAGTCACTCTACAATTCTTTTCCAGTAATTATGGAGAACCTCTCTGTCCTTCTGGGCATATGGGGAGAAACACTGGAGAACCATCAGCACTCAAGTGATCTGGCCTGCATTCTTGTGGCAAAGTGGGCAGGTTACCACCCCAAGCAAAAGTGATACCTGAGCTCCAGCCTTTAATTTTATGGCAACAACTAGAAAAAGTGGAAGGGAGTAAAAGAGCACCAGTCCAACACCTCAGGGCACATTACCTGCTGATAACTATGAAGTCCTGAAGTACTTTCGTTGTGAAACTTTCCATGTCCTTGAAGATAACCACAATTGGAGGAGATTGCCAGTGCCTGGAAGAGGAAGTTATTTTTTTGCTTGGAGTTTCAGAACCTGTTTTCTTCAAAGCCATTGTCCATATATTATAAAACAGAAGTTGGGAAAATACAAAGTAAGTCTCTTGTCTCCCATGTTATAACACTATTACCACATGGACAACTTAACCAAAATAAACAAAATTAGCTGTGTTTAAGGAACACATGGTACTTCTCTAACTGTGTACATCACCACTGTTCCTCTCCTGTGACCTAAATGAAACAGCTATAACAGAGAGTAGGTTAGAAAACTATTCTTCAACAAGGGCCAATCCGGCCCTTATCTCCGCAGAGCCCTCTGGTGTGGTTCCACTGGGCAAAGGGAGGGACAATTTGGGATGGGCACACAGATTTGCACCACTTCTTGTGAAGATCACAGTAGCAAGTCAGGCATGCCTGGGAATTGAAAAGGGATGAAACATCCTCAGTTGCACAGATTCTCTATTACTCTGTTTGAGGGGCTGTGCTAACACCATAAAGGCTATTCCAAATTAGGTTAAAGCAGAATCTGCATAATGACTTCCCAGCACTGGGAGCAGAGAGTAGGATTCTTTTTCCTCCTGTCCCTCAGAAGATCTCTCCTGTATCTCAGCTGAGATACTCAAGCTACTCGGGCTGGTTGCTAGAACATTTTTAGGTCCCAATTTAGCAGAGACTTAAGCACATGCGAAAGTCCATTTCTATTCAACAAAGCTCATAAATCCCACTGAAGTCAATGTAAATACAAAGTAATACGGAAAATTATTCTATGCTTTTTTGTCCAATTACCCAGTAGGAAACCAGAGGAGACCCTCAGAGTCTCAATAATTTTGATAAAATATTTGTGTTCCTAATTTTTAGTTTTTCAATAGTGAGAAAATATAAAACATTTGGAAGGTTTTGCTATCATTAACTGCCTGTGTAGTGCAGGCTTCAGATAGCTTGCGTAAAAGGCCGACTTAACACTGATCATCTGTTCTTTATACTTTGTTTTTCAAAACAAATACTTCAAGGATCTTGTCTGGAGAGAACAACATTTGATAGGAAGTCAGATTTGAGTTTTAAGCTTCCACTTCCAAAGGATTAGCCTAAAACAACCATTTTTTTTGAATTTTGAAAACACTTTCAAAAGTGACCTTTCAAAAAGATAGACATTAATATTTAATTAGAAACTGCATTCATACTCGTGAAAGAATACTTTTAGGTTCTGATGGTCTCAGGGTCAGGTATCACCTAGTACTAAATGAAAGACTAACTTTGCTAGTGTTTTGACTATTAGATACAAGACTGAGTCATGCAATTAACATTTTATGAGACTTAAAAGCCAGATATTTTGTAAAATGGCAGTATGAAAGCCTACCTTTGTTACACTCTCGTACCATTTGGAAAGAGAAGCCATTGAGCAGCGTATCTTTTTCTGGGAAATGTTAACACATTCCTCCTCTTCAAATGAGTCCACATCTACACAGCAGTCCATTAGCTGTCCCATCAGTTTCTGAAGCAGATGTTTTATGCCTTTACAACATAGAGGCACACAATGAAGAGACTCTCACCTAATTACCTAGAATTCTAACCCACACCACACCTATTTCCACCCCTCTCCCCCGATCATCCTGTTTTTGTCTTTTCTTCCCCTTCCCCAAGCTCACCCTCTCTGCGGAGCATTATTTTCAACTTCCCCAGGCAGCTCCCAAACCTCCATATATCAGGACTGCTGTGTATAACAATAGTTAACACTACTAGCTTGTCTGGTGGGGAAGGGAGGAAATCAAAGGGTCAGACACTGATCCTACCTCTCCCTCAGGCTTGAGCAATGCACTGTTTGTGCACTGCTAGAGTAACCTAAAGTTAGACTAAAAGGCTAAATAAGAGATCTGAGTACATTTCTTGGAGTGATTTTAGTCTTTTGAGTTTACAAAAAGTATATATTTGGAAGAAAATGTTATTACAGATATTCCTGATTACAGTAAAATAAGTTGCTATATGTACACATTGAAACTCATATACATAAAGCTTTACAGAACATAGATGATGTTAGGTTTTTCATAAAATATAAATACGTATCCATGAGGCCTGTTCTTGGCATTAAAAAAAAACCAAACCAAACCAAAAAAAACACAAACCACAGGTGTCATTCTCCTCACTATGAAAATGTCTCAGAGACATGAAGTTGGTGGCTGAAAGAGACTAGGGTTTTCAGAGGGAGATTCAGTTTATAATCGAATATTTGCTGTGACAGATGCAGTATCTTTGGGGACCACTTACTAAAATTTATGAATGGTTTATATGTTTGTGCTCTAGTCTACTCTATGGAAGAGGGTTACTACAGCTCCTCCAGAAACTAAAAACTGTGTATTGAGGAAGGTGATTAAGATGAGTCACTGTAACTAAACAACTCTAGAGAAGTACAACCCTTGGGGAGGTTTGCATATACTAGTTCCAACTGGGTGTTCCAGAGACTCAAACTAAGAAGTGGCTTTTGATATAAAAAAACTGAGCTTGAACTGACACAGGTTCTTTCTTTTGATTCAACAAACAGACCCTGCTGAAAGGTTGGAAAAATTTTGGCTTACTAGGGTCCTGGGTACTATAAGACTGGTGGGTGACTCCTGATCTGTTTAGTGTGTGTTTAAATCCGTTTATTGGGGCTCTCTCTCGCACACAAAGCTTTTGCCCTAAGAATAAATGTACTTGCTTAGAAAGAGCTGTTTGGATTACTGGTAAATCACACCTGTCATGGCACTTGGAGAGAAAGGTAAGCCCAGGTGCTGGCCTTAAGGCAGACTGTCTTGCTGCAGATGTCACATTGTATCGAACATGGCTATACAGCTGTAAAACCCCCGGTTAAAAAAGGGAATTTGACAGAGGTCCCTTCCCAGAGACAAGTGATGGCTGGAGGCTTGACACCTGATTGGGCACCCTAGAGTGGACCAGGGAGGGAAGAATACAGGTGAAGTTACCCTGAAACCATGATAGTTATTACATCTACTTCTTCCCGAGGATTAAAGTAAGAAATGGTTGGACCAAATATAAAATTATTAAAAATATCTTAAAATATGCAACAGCTTTATTTCAAATTGAACAGGATGACAAAGATAGAATAGTTTCCCACAAGAAGTGGTGGAATCCTCATTATTTTAAACAAAACTGGACATAACTAGAAAATGTATTGCAGAGAACAATCCTGCATTGGCAGCAGATTGGACTAGATGGCCTAAAAGGTCTTTTCCATCCATAATTTTTATAATTAAAAAATATAAGATAGACTTTATGGTTAATGGCATTCACCATTTGAACAGGTTGTTAAAGCTATTACGTTATATACCTGGGCATTCTTTGGCTTGCAGTGAGACTACATAAGGAGTAACGTTATCCTGAAGAACCTCTGAGAGACTTTTAAAAGTCACGTCATGATCTGTAACATTTACACCTAGAAGGAAGAAAAATCAATACTGGATTATCCCCGTTTATTATCAGAATCACTGAATGAGAAGATATCCCAAATAGACGAGAAAGAGAATAGTGAAAAAATGACAGGTCACCTGTAAGTTATGAAGAAAAATTGTATTCAGAATTCCATATTAGTGATGGCTGATTAAAATCAATGGTATCACAGATTACTTTCCCTCTCTAGAGACAGCAACAGAAATATCCCTCAAGCTCCTTCCAGAAGGAAGGAAGGTAAGGAGGCACCTGAGACCTAAATATTTCTCAGTTATTTTTTTAACAGTGGTTTGATTCCTGCTGATGTAATTCTGCATTGGATTCCACTTAACAAGCTGTCAAGAACACTCATTAGCAAGAATGAAGAAAAGCCAGTTCTTTTGTTATTCAGAATTTTGGAGGGATGGAGAAAGACAACGAACAAGTCTTATACTACCACTATACCAGATCTCAGAACTCAAGCAGGTTTTATCATCTCTCTCTCCACCACAACCTCCAAAGAGTCTAAAGATTAGTGATGTACACATTAGATTTTTAAGGGGAAATTGAAACAGCTGCTTAGTTATTTCTTTTATCCCCACTTCCAAGGACGAAGGACTGGAACTCAGAAGATCTGAGTTCAATCACCAACTCTGCCATAGGCTCCCTGGATTTATGTACAATGGGAACATTTTCTAACCAACTGTAAAACTGTTTCAGCTAAACCAAATTTTAAAAAAAACACACCAGATAGAACCATAGCACAGACCTAATTTTAGGAGGACCCTGAGAGTGGGGAAGGTCCTAGAACCCAGGCTCCAGCCCGAGAGTCTACACTGCAATTTTACAGCCCCACAGCCCCAGCCTGAGTCAGCTGACACAGGCCAACCGAAGGTATTTTCTTGACATGCAGACATAGAATCACAGAAGATTAGGGTTGGAAGAGACCTCAGGAGAGCATCTAGTCCAACCCCCTGCTCAAAGCAGGACCAACCCCAACTAAATCATCCCAGCCAGGGCTTTGTCAAGCCGGGCCTTAAAAACCTACCCTAAGGGCAATATCCTGGCCCCACTGAAGCCAATGGCACACTCCCATTGATTTCTGTGAATAAAATCCTTGCCCAAATATCTCTTTTTCCCTCACTTCCTCATTTGTCAAAAAGAGAGACAATATATACAATTGTATCTAATGTTAAAAAAGCAACTTTAGACTTGAGACTAAGGCTTATTCACCAAAAGACTCCCCCTTTTTTAATATAATGATCCCCATGAAGGCTAAAGGCCTGTAACAGGATTAGCACCCGCCTCTCATGCATGCCTCCATTTCTCTGGCCGATAGTGCCTGCAAACACAGTTCTTTTCATGGGGGTGGGGGGGGAAGGACACACACACATCTCGTGGATGGCCCCCTTTCTCTTGGTTAGGTGCGAGCCTGCTTTTGGTTTTTTGTTCTTTCAATGGGGTGGCACCCTCCTCTCGCAAGCGCTCCCGCCCACCACCCTGTGGTTCTCTCGGCTGGTCTTCGGCAGCTCAGCCCTCCGGCCGAGCCACACACGCTGTCCCCCCTTTCCAGGGTATACAGTCCCAAATTCTTATTCCGGCTCTGATATGGGGCCGTAGCTCTTAGGCTTCTTCCCAGAGACACTGCCTTCTTCTGACACCTACCCAGGGCCGCAGCCCTCCCTGGGTTCAGTCTTTAACCAGACCAGCAGGACCCATCTCGGTACCCTTGCCTGCTCTGGGCAGGTCCTGGTCTCAGTCCCCCGGGCTCAGTCTGCCTGCACTGACCTTTTCATGGTCCTGCTGCTCTTCTATCCAGCCAACCAGGCACCCAGTCTTTGGCAACCTTCCTTGGGCTTGGTTCTGCCTCCACAGTGAGCTATCCAGGGACCTGCTGCTCAGCCAGCCAGCCAAGCACCTGGTTCTCCCTCTTCAAGCTCCAGGCAGGAACTGAAGGCTGCTCTGCTGCTTGCCTTTTATCTGGCTCATCTGGATCCTTATTGGTCACTCAGCAGCCTCTCTGACTGGCCGTTCTTCTACAGCCACTCTAGGCTGCCTGGAGGACTTCTCGCTGCTCTATTCTGGGACAAGGTGATGCAGGGCTGCGAGGCCTCCAGACCTAGTCCAACCTGCCACAGAGTCTCATAAATTCAGACTACCGTTGGTAATGTAACTCCCTGGGTACTGCATTAGCTTATATGTTTTGAGAGTGCCCCAGTATCAAGAATTTCTCTTATGAGGTGGGTCAAAGGACCAGTTTGATATTGGATGCTAAGTTGAAGCCCTTCTCCTTAAATTTCATCCATGGATATATTCCTGATACCTGGAGGTTACCTGGTAGCAAAGCAGCATGGTCCCAGTGGTCAACACTGGTAACTAAAAAAATTAATCCTGAAAAAATGGAAAAGTCAATCCCCACCAAACACTGATGTGTAGCTAGCTCAGTGATATGGCTGACTTTGCATCTGACAGATGACTCACATTCTGCAGAAGCGGAATGTCCAAATAATTCAAAGCAATTTGGGCTGACTTTTTAAGAGGTCTATGAGTATAGTAGCTCTTTAAGGTAGATATCTTGCTTCCCCTCCTATCCCTGCTCTTCAATCTAACCTCTTTACTTACTTTGAGTATTATGATGAATCTGGTGTTTTGGTATATTTGTTGTATTTGGAAAAATAAAAACTATAAATAAAAAATAAGGACAATATTTGCCTATCTCGAAGGAGGATTGGGAGAATAAATTCATAAATATACATGAGGCACTCATATCCCATGGTAATGGATGCCATATTAAAAAACCAAGATAATCAGACAAACCACACAGCACGCTGGTGGTAGAAATGGGAATAGAAGCCAAATGTTCTGATGTCCACTCCCTCCTATTGCCTAAGGCAAAACCTATGGTGGAGATGCTCTCACACTGTGCCTTCATACATATGAGAAAAACAAGAGGAGAACTAAAACCAATACAGCTTTCCTCTGATTCTTGTCTGTTAATGTTTCTGAAGTTCAAGCTGCTTGCTCCAATAGCTGGAAGGCTCCAAATCAATTTCCTTTGATCTTTAATCTAATCTAGAGATTTGACAGATGTATCACAAAGTGTCTTAAAATACAAAAAAGTTACCTAGGACAAGAGCTGCAGTAGGAATTTCACTGGATTTCATCCGACACATCCATTCTGTCTTCTTTGTTTGGAATTCAGAGTAAGATTGTCTCAGAAAACTTATTAGGTTATCAAATAATTGTTTATTGAGTTCTTCTTGTATTTTCTAGAAAACATATAAACACACACACACAGCTTTTATTATACATAGGTGGGGAGACACTGGAGTCCCCCTTTTCCCACTTCCCTCGTCACTTTACTGGTTGTTAAAAGCCCCAAAGCAAATTATCCAGGGTCCAATTCTAAATTAATATTCTGTTTTTCTGCCAATTATGACCAGAGTGTATAATTTATTAGGTGGCAGAAACAGAAGTGTTGATTTCTGTTTTCCCTTGATGCTTTGATCAAATATCTCAATAGTCAGGGATACTGCATTGTTTAAGTATGTTGCTGCATGACAGGTTGAACAGTAATTTTAAAAATGATTCAGGCACAGAGGAGAAAAAAAATTTATTTAGCTATGAAAAAGCAAGTGACCTCTGGATGTACAAAACAGTGCAATTATTTTCTGGCAGGATGTCCATGCCTACTCCTCTTATTCCCTATTGTCTTACAGAATACCTACAAGCATTTTCTGTGTGAATTCTACAGTTACACAGGAGAGTCAACATTCAATTTATTTAAATCTAAACAGAAAAAAATCAGCTAAGGAAAGTATTAGGCCTAAATGATGAAAAAGTATCTTCCGCCAACACATGCCTTATTTGTCACCATTCCGCTACTCCCTTTTATCCTTGAAAAATTATTTTCATACTGGGATCAACGTGAAAAAAATAATTTAAAAAAATCAATAAAGACAGATATACTTTTGCAGTATTTTTCTACTTCCTTCGATTATCAAACGTGTTTATTTGTGGTTCTCTACCTCCAGCCCAAAATATTTCTTCTGCTGGAATACACAGGGAAGTTGTAGTCAGGTTTAGGAATATCAGAAAACGTAATGGACAGATGGTTTCACCTCTACCAACCAAAACCTAATCACATACTTCTTACAACAAAAATCACTTATGGGGTTGTCTTTTGGGGCTGTGACCAGCCAGCTGCTGCCTCCTCTGAGCCTTAGGCATCTTAACACTTTATTTGCTTTTTTGACCACTACTGCACATTGAGTACACGGTTGAATTTAACTGTTCTACCAAGACCCTAGAGCTGAGTGAATAATTTATTTTTTGATTCAGTGGTCGAACAAAAAAAAAAATACACACACACACACACACTAATTTTTTTTTGCTTTGTTTCAAACCAAAACCTGAATTTTTGCATTGTTTCTCCCTCAAATGAATTTTTTTTTATTCTGGTTGAATGAAACATTTCAAACATCATCTCAAAATGAAATGTTGAAATGTTTAGTTTAGAAAAATGTTAACAAAAAATCTGACTTTTTCAGAATTTTCCCCAAAAACTATTTGTGGAAATCGATCTGCATATTAATATTAATAATTAATTAATAATAATGAGGTGCATGGAAGCAAGCCCTGATTTAAACATATCTCTTTGGTAAACACAGCCAGAAAAGTATAAAACCCCACGACCTATCACTGCTTTTATGTTTTTAGTCGGTTATATTAAGTTCACCACAGGCTGCAAGTTCTTCTTTAAACGCGGAGGGAAGTGGGGGAGAGAAACAGGTGAAGAGGGAAGGCTAGTAGACAGAATATTTTCTGGGATTGCTTTCCCTCAAAAAAATCCCACCATAATAAAAATCTCTCTTCATCTGCTCCATCTTGCAATGTTAAACTTATTAAAATGTTTTGGGCTCCTAATTATAGGCTACTTAATTTTATAAGGCCTCAAGTAACCAAGAGGTTGAGGAAACATTTTATTTTTCCTAAAACGGCCTGCTTCATTTGAGGTGGTTATCATTATAGCACTTCTCACTGGTATATAAAAGACACTGTTGACACCAGTTCACCAGACTAAGCGCTCAGCCATATTAGCACGTGTCCATCTTCCATTCACCAGCGTGCATTCTAATCCAAAATGGACCTTGAGATGCCCTATACCCCACAAAACTGAGGTTTAGAGCAGCCTAAACTTCACTGTGGGTTAGAAAACACACAACTGGATTAGAAGCAGACAGTGGCAATACACCATCAGTAAGGTAAGGAGGGGAAGCTTATGCATCAGAATTGGTATGTGTGTCATGGTTAGAAACAGTGTACCAGTGGTGTTTTTTATATGTTCCTCATGGAGGTTTCAGTCTCACTCCACATTTCTGGCTCTCTTCCTGCCTCAGACCTTTCATCTTTTCTGCAGGTAAAGGAAATCACTCAGAAAAATAAGAACAAAACACCAGAATTGATTTAAAATGTAAAATGTATAGTTAGTATTAAGTAGCAGGACGCACCTCTGTTTCAGAATTGATCTGCTTCCATAACAACTGACAAGTAGCAAATCGAAGACCGCTGTCCTCTGAATCATTTTTACCTTCACTAAAATAGTCAGCTGGAAAAATACAAATAAAAGGCAATCATAATGGTGTTTATAAAAACAAAACTTTTTTTCACAAGCAAACTAGACAATGGCTGAAAAGGAAATCTATCCTCAATCATAATAAGCCATTATTTGTCTACTAACTGCATGTATCTCTATCAGGTAGGCAGAACAAGTGAGGGAAGTATGTCGAGGCTGTTGCCAGAAGGAGTTGGTGAATGAGCTGACTTTCACCACTGGTCCCAGATTGAGACAAAAAGATACATAAATATATACAAACATACATACCTAGCTCTTATATAGCACTTTTCATCCACAGATCTCAAAGCAGTTTACAAAGGAGGTCACTATCATTATCACCATCTCTAAAATGCAGGAACAGAGACAGAGGTGACTTGCCCACCTCAGCCAGCAGGCCAGTGGCAGACCCAGGACTAGAACCCAGACCACCTGAATCCTTGTCCAGTGCTCTTTCCACTACACCAGGGGTTCTCAAGCTTATTCTTTCTGAGGCCCCCTCCCAATGTGCTATAAAAATTCCACAGCCCACCTGGGCCACAACAATTGTTTTTCTGCATATAAAAGCCCGGACCAGAGTTAGAAGCAGGGCAATTGCCCAGGGCTCCAAGCCACATGGGGCCCTGCGAAGCTAAGTCGCTCAGGCTTCGGCTTCAGCCCCGGGTGGCAGGGCTTGGAGCCCTGGGCTTCAGCCCCAGGCCGGAGGGCTTTGGCTTTCTGCCCTGGGCCCCAGCAAGTCTAATGCCGGCCCTGCTTGGCATATCCTCTGAAACCTGCTCGCGGCCCCACAGTGGGCCTCGGACCCCCAGTTGAGAACCACTGCGCTAGGCCACCCTGCTTGGCAACCATCCACATCCTGCCTTGCAGCTGGATAAACTAGCATTGTCTCCCTTATTATAAATATCCCCCTTCCCAAACTGTCCAACTTGTTTCAGTCCGTCTCACAGTCCACGCAACCAACCAGCCATGGGGTCTTCCACAGTGCCTTGCAGTAGGCCTCTGGTCCCCCTCCATTATTCCACAGTAACATCAGGTCTATACTAGAAAGGCTTTGCCAGTATAGCAATGCCAGCAACCTCCCAGTGGAGATGCAGTTTATACCAGAAGAAACTAAAGAACTTGGGCAGGGACCGTCTTTTTTGTTGAGTGTTTGTACAATGTCTAGCCCAAAGGTGTCCTGGTCCATAATCAGGGCTCCTAGAATGGCATAATACAAATAATAACTTTTGCCACTATATCTTATTCCAGTTCCCCAACCGGGAAAAGCACATTTGTGGTGATATCACAGCGTTTACATTTGCCAACATACTTATGTCAGTTGGGGGTGCATGTGATTTTTTCACACACCTGACATATGCTAGCAAAACTTTTAAGTGCAGACCAGGTCTAAGTTTCTGGTCCCCATCTCCAACCTTCCCTCACCTCCCTGAACTTTAAAGTTAATAAGCACTTCTTAAATATCAGACCCTCTTTGTTAGCAGTGTCCTGACGTCTCTCTGCTGAGACATTCTGCACTCAGCTTCCTAGATGCCGTTTGCTACCCCGTAATGCCGGCCCTGGCTTTTATATGCAGAAAAACAGTTGTTGAGGCAGAGGCGGGCTGTGGAGTTCTTATAGCATGTTGAGGGGGTCTCAGAAAGAAAAAATGTTGAGAACCCCTGGCTTAGAGGACAGCTAACACTACGTGGAAGGGTACAATGGCTGACGGTTATATAAACAGTTCAGTTAACTGTCAGGGCATGCAGGATTGAATACAATGATTAACTTTTCTCTTTGCAATAGCAAAGACATGAAAACAAAAATAAATGTTACAACAAAACTGTAAGTTCCCTTTAATAATCAGGTACTAAGCAATCAGCTGCATTCTAGTCTCTAGAAATTACTCCTCGGGGGATTCTGCAGGACTGCACGCCCGCAGAAAATGGCAGGGAAGCAAAGGGAAGAGCATGGCGGCAAGGGGGTGACCACGGGTGCAGTTTTTTGGGGGGGATTGTCCCCCCTCCAAACAGAGGCGAGGCATGGGGGGGGGCACACAGGGTTACATGCCACTTGCCCCCCCCCCATTCTATAAGCCCAGCTGAAGGAAGCTGTCTCTCCATGGCTCCGCTAACTCTGCGGTTGAACGCAGCCTCCTGGATCCCAGTGCCAGTCCTGCTCCCCTTCTGTGTTCTGGAAGCCTTCCTGTTTTCTATTCTGTAAAACAGTGAGTGCCCGCGGTGGGGCTGGGGGAAGTGAGGGAAGGGGGGATGAGGGGATGGGGAGGGAAGAGACAGTGGGGAAGGAAAGGGGTAGAATAGGGCAGGGGGAGGGAATGTGAGAGTGAGGGGGACGGAGAAGACAGGGGAATCATGGGGGGGAAGCAGGAGCCCGGCATGCAGCGTCCCCTCAGCAGCAGCTGGGGCTCCCCCGTTAAGCAGGCCCATTGAACCCTCACCCTGACAAGCCCGACCCCTCTACACCTGGACCCCTCCGACAAGCCCCCACACCCAGAACTCCACCCCACTGATCCCCAACCAGCTGCACTTGGACCCCACCCCATCAAGCCCCACTCCCCCAGCACCCAGATCCCCCACTGAGCCCCCCACACCCAGACACCCTCCCCCCAACCACCTTCACCTGGATCCCCTGCAGAATCCCATTGCCCCTGCACCCGGAACCCCACAATGAACCTCGTTGCATCCAGATCTCCCACTGAGCCACCCACATCAAGACTGCCCCACACAGAAACCTCTCCCCACACACCTAGATCCTCCCCACACCTGGATCCTGCTGGGCTGAGCCTGCCCACCCACACCTGGTGCACCTGGCGCAGAGGGGCACGGCTCTGGAGCAGGCCCAGCCCTTGCACTGTGTCAGGGTCAGGTGCAGCCTCACTGCGTGTACCGGGGGAAGTGGGAGCTTCACGGTGATCTCCCACCTCAATGCAGCCAGTGGCCTGTGCTCCCCACTGCCATGCTGGAGCCACAATTATTTATTGACAAATAAAATGTGCATAATTTTAAATTTCTTGGCACATAATTCCCTTAGGAGTAAGAAATGAATCAGCTGGTGCGCCTGCAAATGTATCACTACTGGCGATTAATGGAACCCCCATCAAAGAGCTCATTGTTTACCTACACCAGTGGCCTCCAACCTTTTTACGCCCAAGATCACTTTTTGAATCTAAGGGCAACTCAGGATCTACCCCGCCCCTTCCCCAAGGCCCCACCCCATCCCCAAAGCCTTGCCCCGGTCACTCCATTCCTCCCCACCCCCCGTCACTTGTTCTCCCGCACCCTCACTGGGCTGGGGCAGGGGATGCGGGCTCTGGGCTGAGCCTGAGGCAGGGGGTTGGGGTGCAGAAAGGGGTGAGGGGTGCAAGCTGTAGGAGGGAGTTTGGGTACAGGAGGGCGCTCCAGGCTGGGGCAGAGTGTTGGGGTGCAGGAGAGGGTATGGGGTGCTGGCTCTGGAAGGGGGCTCAGGGCTGGGAGTTGGGATGCAGGAGGGGGTACGAGGTGCTGGCTCCAGGAGGGGGCTCAGGGATGGGGGTCGGGGTGTGGCCTCCCACTGGGCAGCACTTACCTCCAGTGGCTCCTGATCGGCAGCGGGCGCAGCGAGGGTAAGGCAGGCTCCCTGCCTACCCTGGCCCCACACCGCTCCTGGAAGGGGCCAACACGCCCTGTGGCCCCAGGGAAGGGAAGACGGGGGGCACGTGGCTCCGCGCGCTGTCCCGCAAGCACCACCCCTGCAGCTCTCCTGGCCAATGGGAGATGCGGGGGCGGTGCTTGCAGGCAGAGGCAGCACGGAGAGAGACCCCTGCCCTCCTGCCCCCAGGGCGGCAGTGGCCGCTTCCGGGAGCAGTGTGGAGCGGGACAAGCAGGGAGTCTGCCTTAGCGGAAGCCATGCTGTGCTGCCGCCGGAGATCGCGATCGACCAGTTGGTGACCACTGACCTACACTAACAAAGCCATTTAAATGGCTCCAGGATCCTTTGGTCTTGCAAATCTATAATTTTTTAGCTTAACTAAAAGCAACACAAACCACCATGTGTGTGTGTGATCATACCAAAATTATTTTGTTTTTTTCCCTCCAAGTGTCTAGACAGCAGATGCTAGGTGCAAGTGTGCACAAAGATCTGGTCCTGAGAGATGTGGAGTACCAGCAATTCTAGCTGAAGTTAATGGGATTTGAAAGTACTCAGCATCTTGCAGGACTGGGCCAAAAAGCTGAACATACAAACGAGAGAGCACTACCTATTTCTTAGGCCTTAATAGACGTCTGTGCATATGCATGGCCTTCTCTTGCACTTATAAATGCATACCTGGAGTCCATTTTCTGAATAGCCAGAAAGAAAGGTAAACAAAATCAGTGTCTTAGACTGAGGGACAGACTTACAGGTATTTAGGTGCCTAAAGATACATCTCAGGACCTACTGGGATTTTCAATCAGATTTTAATAGGATTTTAAGTCCCAATGGGCATTAGATGCATAGGCACTTTTGAAAATTCCACCAGGTACTATATCTGCATCTTTAGGTACCTAAACACTATTAAAAATCTAGTCCTGAGTAGATAATGGAAGAAGGGGATGAGCCTGTGCACACATGCAGTGACCAGCCAATATTTTTAACAATGGCCAGATCCACAAGATGCACAACTAAAAGATGGAGAGCTGATTTGTATATTTGACGACTCCTGGATTCTTCTTTTCCTCAGAGTTAAAAACAAACAAAAAAATATGACTCCTACTCAATTAAATTGCATCTTTTTAATCTGAGAATGTCATCTCCTCTAGGGATGTGGCAATTAACTAGATATTTCACTTAAACCAGTAGCATGTTAAATCTCCCCAAAAAGATATTTAAAAGATTATTCTAAACATTGATTGGTTTACAATAGCAAAATTAGTTAACGTTTGTATTAAATTTCATTGAACTATTCCCAAAGACAGTGATATTGCATATTGGCTGCTAAATTGGAGCAACATCAGTTTTAGCAAGATTAATTTAGCAGAATGTTAACACAAACAAAGTTTTCAGTAAAAGAAAAATTCTACTGTGATATCCCAAGTCTATCCCATGATAAAATCCAATCACTGTCTTAGTTATCTAGTAGTGCTCCGTACTGACAGTTAGAAAACTTAGGTTAGACTTCCCGATCTCCTGGGGTTTCAGACATGCCAGGCCTGAAAATCATTTTGGATTAATTTTAAAGCAGGTGTTACAGTATATCCCTCTGGTGATAAAAGAGTCTGCAGTGTTTTCCAATGAGATTTAAAATCTGGTTCATTTTTTTTTTTTTTGCACTCTTCTTCATTCAAATTGTCACCGTTTTTGACAGCTCTGGGGCTAGCAGGGATTAGGAGTGCTGCCAAGGCAGCATGCTTAACCTGGGAGTAAGGACAGGACATCTCTTGAGTTGCTTTCAACAGGAACTGAGCAGCACTATTCATAGGTCCAAGGGGAGTCAGTCTTGTCTAGTTCTTCTCAGATGGTGAATACTACATGGGGGCTGACGGATGGGAAGCATAAATAATGAGGAACAATGGACAAGAACATTAGAGGTACAAAGGGCTTTTTCCTGACCTCTTCCTCACCAAAATCAGATAAGCAAAGTGAAATATGATCGGCATGCTGAATAATGCATCATTTCTGATTAGGTAAGAATATTCAGTGCCTATCAATGATGGTTCTCCTTTGATTTATCAGTTATTGTTTACTGGCTTGACAAAATACCAGTTTATGACAGTATGGAGAAAAAGTTTTCCTGAAAAAAGATTTTTATAAAGATGAAGAAGGCAATGAAGGCAGAGCGCTGGAGATGAAGAAATTTCATAGCAGTTAATAACTAGCTGGGGTGCTGCTGCTAAAGAGATGACAGCTCTTCAATATTGTGTTGGCATTGGGGAGTAAATGAAATCCATATGTGGGAATTACAGAATAAAATCAGAGTTGAGGCTTATGGGATCAAGTGATCCTTTCTAAAGCATAGCAATATATATCAAAATACACTAACCTGTTGATGAAGATATCCTTCTCTTCTTGGAACTTGGTTTAAACACAAAGCAGCCCTAGAGAGTAGCAAGCAAAATGTGAACTTCAGAGTGAGTTTCCATCTCATCAGAATTCTTGAGGCGCACAGGGAACAAGCAGAAAAAGACAAATATCTCAATGTTCTAATAAAACAACATTTGTTAATTCTGAACTGGCCTTTCAATGTCTTAAGGACATTAAGATTCTGTGATTGCAGCAATGGAGAAATTAGTCCATCTGGACTTTCACTTCTTCTTTCAAGGTGGAAACCTATGGAAAGTAGTATACCCCTTTTGTTCTTTCCAGAGCTCAAAGAATCATCTCTGATCCTTGGGCTGGAGTTTTCTACCTTTCCATAGGTTTTTAACTCCATCTACCAACCAACGTGTTGTGACAAGAAATGTGACTAAACAGTAATTAATAAAGTGAAGAAATGAAAACAAATCAATTGATTCACAGAAGAGCTACTCTTACAACACTTTAAAAACAAACTTAAGGATCCTGAGACTAAGCAGTAAATTAATTATACTGTATACAAAGAAGAGTAGGATACAAAATTCAGATATTGAAATAAGGCAGAAATCAACAACCATGGGCAAATCCAAATTGCTAAAATGAAGGTTAAAGATTAATTTTTCTTCAGTGGCACTGTTGAGATGAACATTTAACACCTATAACGTATCTCTAAGAATTCTTCCGATTTTAGGGGACATACTTTGTTCACTGAAGTATATACTTTGACAGTAACTACAAATCTAATATAAAAACACTATTAATAAAATAATGCAAACAAATCACAGACAGCTAGACAGAACACTTGGCATGGAAATCAAACGGAAAGCATTCTGTGCTGTCTTTTACAGTAATTGTCTGTTCACTGCCAATGGATATACTAAATTTCCCATTAGTATTTACTAATCCCTAGTTGGTAATTATAAAGTTCTATTAGCTTTAGGAGAATATTTTAAAGATTTATCAGTTTTGACTTTGAATGATGATATTGACATGGGCACAATCAGGCAGATCTTACTCCTGTGAACAGTCCCATTGAGTTCAAGATTACTCATGTGAGTGAAGGATGAAGGAGCAGACCAATATATCAGTATGATATACAGTGACTCAAATATTATATGTATTTACATTTAGGGTCTGGTGTATTCATATGTCATGCAAATTTGCAGTCACAGAACTTGCAGCAGATTCTATCCCTTGCTGAAAAATTGTGCTCCAAAATCCAAGATGTAATTTTTAAAAATTAATGTTTCTAGCCCAAAATTGTGAAGATAACCTTGAAAATGTGAATGCAATGTTGTCTTCCCAGCATCTACAGAAAACTTGAAACACCAGTTCTGCTCCATTTGTCTCATTGAGTTAACTCCAAAACCTAAAGATGGCATTTAAATGTCAATACTACTAACTATTACACTGTTGATCATCGTAGCAGAAAAAAATACAACAGAACAAATCATCAACAAGGCTCTGGTAGTAAACCACAAAGATGCAAACACTAAGTAAGTACTAACTCACCTTGCTTCCTAAAACTACATTTGCTATAAAAAATGATACGAGCTTTTCAAAACACAAAGAATTCATGGGTATAACTAAAACCTTGCTTTACCACAAAAGAAAAACTCCTGGGTCTGGAGGGATCTATGAAGACTCCGGAATCTAGATCTGAAAACAATCCCTCTCTCACCCCCATTTCCTCACACTTCTCTCAACTAGTGACATAGAACACAACAGGAAACAATGCAGATACTTTAAGACAAAATGGAAGCAGGTAAAGCATGTCTCATAATAAAGTAAAGAAAAAATACAAAACCTGAAGCTTTCATTTATAGATTATAAAAGACACAGGCTCTGCCTATAGCTGGAAAGTAATTCAAAAAAGTTTCCCACTATGGCTAATACTTAGGGTCCTACCAAGTTCACGGCAATGAAAAATCTAGTCTCCCCCTGTGAAATCTGGTCTTGTGTGTGCTTTTACACTATACTATACCGATTTCACAGGGGAGACCAGAGTTTCTCAGATTGGGGGTCCTGATCCAAAAGGAAGTTGCAGGGGGTCACAAGCTTATTTTAGAAAGATCGTGGTATTGCCACCCTTACATCTATGCTTCCTTCAGAGCTGGGCGGCTGGAGAGTGGCAGCTGCTGGCCAGGCGCCCAGCTCTGAAGGCAGCGCCCTGCAACCACCAATGCAAGAGTAAGAATTTTAGATGCTGATTTGTTTAATTACTGCAACACCCTGGTGTGGACATTCAGAAATCAGTTTAAGAGTGCCTTATATTGATTAAGCTAAATCAATTTAAGGCACTCAAACAGATTTAATAAAAATCAAAAAAATTAAATCTAGAAGGGACCATCATGATTGTCTAGTCTGACCTCTTGAATACCACAGGCCAGAGTTTCACACAGTAATTCCTGTGCAAAATTCTACGGCTTGTGTTATGCAAGAAATGAGACTAGATGATCACTATGATTTAAGAGTATCCACACCATGAAGATACCCAGATTTAACCAAACTGGACACTCAAACTGTATGCAGACTTTCCCTTACTGGGAGAAATAGGGCCTGAGTCTTCTCTCACTAGTACTGGCGTAAATCACCATCCATTAAATTCCATGAAGTTTCACTGGCATAAAATTGATGCAAGCAAGTGAATAATCAGGTTCACAGTGTTTCCCTTCAGGCTATCCTGAAAAGGGTACATAAGGAACTTCAAAAGAAGGCAGAAATTCAATCGCACACAACACCTCAGTAATTTCACAGTGATTATGAAAAGTAAAAAGCCCTGGAATTTGTGATAAAGCAGCAGAATCCACCCTATTAACAATTGGAATTTCCTCCTCATATTTATAGATATAAGATTACATTTATAAATCATCCATGGAAAAGAACTCAAGGGAATAGCCTCAACAAAGCTCTGTGTAGCATTCATGGGCTTCTTATTCCCTCTGTAACACTGGATAAGAGACAAGTAACAAAAAAGTAGGAAACAATAGTCAGTTTTCACCAGGGCAAAAGGTTAACAGTGGGGCGCCTGAAGATTCTGTACCAGGTCCAATGGTGCTTAATATATTTATTTATTAATGAGCCAGAACATGGGATTCAGCAATGAGGTGGCAAAATTTGCAGATAAAGTAATTTAGGTTAGTCAAGGGCAGAGAGATCTCTGAGGAACATCAGAGGGACCACATCAACATGTGAATGTACAACAAGATGACAAAAGTAGTTCAACATTGATAAATGCAAAATAACTATTCACACATCTTAATTAACTCCATCAACTCAGCAGAGGGACTTGGGGTGTCACTGTGGACATCTCAATAAAGACCTCTGCTTAATGTGCAGCAGTGATCAAAAAAGCAAACTAGATGTTGGCACGCATATGGAATAGGATGGAGAATAATACAGAAATTATTACAATGACATTTATATGAATCAATAATAGAGCCTCATCTAAAATACTGGGTACAATATTGGTCACCCCCTCTCAAAGAACATATTTCAGAATTAAAAGGGGCTCAGAGAAGGACAACAACAAAAATTAGGGGCATAAAAAACCACATACAAAGAGAGACTGAAAATATTAAAACTATATCTTAGAAAGGAAATGAATAAGAGGGGACAAAATAATGGATGATACAGAGAAGGTAAATCGAGAACTTCTGTTCTCTCTGTCACATAACACAAGAACAAGAAGGCATCCAATGAAATTAAAATATCGCAAATTCAAAATCAAGAAGAGTAACTATTTTTTTTCCACACAACGTGTAAACAAACTGTAGAGCTCACTGCTAAATGATGCTGTTGGGTCCAAAACCTTAGCAAGATTCAAAAGGGGATTGGATGTTTACATGGATAAAAGTAATAGTTAATGCTAACATATGCTATTGGAAGAGATATTAAACCTCATACTTCAGGGTTTAATCCAATATCTAACTATTGGGGATTAGGAGGAGAATGTGGAGGGCAGATTATCCTACATTTGTCTAATACAAGGTTGTATGCACTTTTCTCTGAAGCATCTGGTACTGGCCACTGTAAGAGAGAGGATGCTGGATTAAAAGGACTACAGTTCCAAGAAAGGAAGGCTTCTGCAGCAGTTCAGGCATTAGTTTGGGATTTGGTAGACTGTTCCCCCACAGGTGTCCTGTGCGGCAAGTCTCTTGGTCTCTTTGTGCCTCAGTTCCTTAACAGTAAAATGGGGATAATGCATGATACCCACCAACAAAGGCATTGTGACAATAAAAACACTAAACATTGTGAGGTGCTCAGACACTGAAGTATTGGGGAGCACAGAAATACCTAAGATAGATTGTCTGATTTTGTATGTCAAGTCCTAGATTTCCAAATAGGAACTTCTATACAACCAAAGAAAGATTACTACACCTAGGACTAGAAGATTCTGACCAGGAGTGAAATAACTTCCCCTACTTCTCAAGAAGGTAAATTATAAAACAGATATCTGATTAATAATGTCAGTCCAGAGTAGATGGAATACATATGAATAGAAAAAGTCCAATTTTCAAATGTCAGACAGGAAAACATGAACTTTTTTCTTTTCATTGCACATATGAATATATGCACTGGACAAGTTATGTGCCTAAGTGACTATTTGCAGGCACTATTAGAGTAACTGCAAGTGAAAATTAGACATGCAAATACATATGCATTTGTGTATGTGCAAATGCACCCCTGCTCTCAGATACCAAATGTTTTAATTTCTAATACAATCACTTATGGCCCAAACTTTAGATTTTGTTTTAAAACAGTTTAAAAAACTAAATATCAACACAGCATTTCAACATATTTTAAATTCAATTAAAGCATGTATAATTTAAATATTCTCTTGCAGTGCTGGAAACCTGGGTACATGCTTTTAATCAAGATGATTTAAATCACTTAATTATTTTTTTAAGTCATTGATTTAAATCAACTTGATGCTTTGTAAAAAATAATTTGAAACTTGTGCTATTGCAACTTTACATTAAAATGTATAAGGAACTAAATTATAAATTCTATAAGTTTTAAA